ATATATATGACCATCTGTGTTTTTATAAGACTTATAAGAACACTTATACAAATAGCTCTTTTATAATACCAATTACATTTATTTACCTTTAAATTCATTACATTTCTTGAGACTTTGATAGACATGCATAATGACAAAAGCTTGGAACAAGACATTAATGAAAGTATGGAATAGAAAAATATTTCAGTTGGTTTTTGAAAGTCCACTTATAATTTGGTTGTGACTTGGAGTAGTGTCTCACATGAAAGCTGAACTAGATAAGTTTCTCAAACTTTTCACTTTAATCTATGTTGAAGCTGTAAAACAGCTGCAAAATTTTAATAAGAAGATTTAAAAGAACAGAATACATGAAGATAAATAAAATTTTATATCATAATAGCAATAAGTTTTTGTACATTAAATGTTAAAAGAAAGAACATTTACAAGTTGTAAATCAATCAGAATTGTATAAGAGTGTCGTATCGAGGTAAAATTCTTACTGGTATTTGTATACTGATATCATTCTAAAGAATTTCAGGACTCATCAAAAACTTTGAGTGCAAAATAATTATACCAACTATTGTTCTACTATTAAAGTTGTGTCCCATTTACCAAAATATCCGTTAAGATAAATTTATGAGATAAAAATGATGAGGTGTTATATACTGCTTAAAATTTTGTTTTTATGCATATAAAATTTTGAATATTTATAACTTCATTTTTTTTTTTTACTGATTACAAGTGTTATTGGAATTGCACAGTGCATGTTGATGATACATATAAAATAATTAAAATATAAATATTACAAATGTTTCTATCTTATACCCTAACGCACTTACCTTGATTTGCATGACACCCCCTGCTGTCACATGCAATATTTATATTGGTAGAGTTTTTTTTTATGTTCTTAATTATTCTTCATTTGGTAAAACTATTGCAACACTCCTAGCAACTTGCCATAACACACAGTTTGGAAACTACTGCATTAAACTGAGTATGTTTGTAATTTTATTGTTCTAATGCCTTGATTTCACTCGCATAAAATTATTTGAAGAACTTGACAGGAATACAAAGTAAATTTCATTTTCATTATTAAACCTTGTAAATCCAGTTATTTTTTATATTAGTATCAGAATTGTTAGTTTATAGGAACTCTAAGGAAATTATGTCATTTCAGAGTCTGGAGCTGCTAACTGAAGACTTTTGTACAAAACTTAATGATCAGGTGTCCACGCCTCTCAACTCCTACATGAATCAGTTCCCTGAAATGCGAGTGAGTTTTTCTGTTAAACACAATTTATCTGCTGTAAATAAATTCAGCAAGATCTGTTATTACTTTATAATTTTTATTTTAGAATATATAGGGTGTTAATTTTTTTTATGGTAGTTTTTGTTTTAATCTTTACTTCGAATGTTACAAAATTATTTGAAGTTCCTTGGGTTATCCATAAAACCTAGTTATATTTTTATATAGACATCGATATTTTGTAAGGTTTCACAGACATTTTAGTCATTTTATTTTAACAAACATATTTTAATATCACAGTCAAAAAATAGCCAAACGAAATAGAAAAGTGGTCGACTATGATAGCAGCAGGCACAGTTTAGAAGCTATAATTCACTCTTCTAAGAAAAGAGATGAAATGAAAATAGCAAAGGTAGGTTAATCATTTAGAGCATTTATGTGGAGTCTTTTACTTATTAGAGCATTAATAAAAAAGTGTTATCTTATTAAGTATTTATTTTATTTTTACTGAATTTATGTGTCTACTTTTTTTGGACAGAATTGAAATCTAAGTTTAAATTTTTTTGCTACGATTACACCTATGTAATTTGTCTAACAACTTATTATAAGATTTAGGTAATCAAGGGAGTATAACATGGATGTAACATCTTTGGTCAAAATTGTGTAAGCAGATAATTTCTGTTAAATTACTTGCTGCATTTAAAGTTATTTATGTATATTTCTTTAAATAAAGGTCCTTAATTTTTTTGTGTGTGTGTGTGTGTGAAACTTTTAAAGTTCGATACTTTTAAAATTGTTGGTGGGTTTTAGCTAACAATATTTATTAAAGAACTATCCAGTCTGTTGAGCAGAAATGACCCAGTTTAAAGTCTTTTTGTTGAACTCGTACAAACAAATAAAAAAACTCACATTATCAAATGTTTTGCAAAATGGACTTAGCTAGAAAATATTTGGTGAGTAAGTAACAAAAACATCCAGTGACAAAGCTCCGTCAGTACTGTTGGTAATTTATACAACATGAAATGGTGAAAAAATACAGGAATGATCTTGTTTAATTAAAATTAAGGTTTTTTTAGATAAGAAAATGTAAAAAATAAATAAAAAGATAAGCATATCATTATGAAATAGAGAAAAACATACAGTTCATGTATATAATTTAAATATTCAAAATTGTTTAGAAGAATATGCCAGTAAATTCTAGTATTGTTTAGAAAAGCTAAAGTGTATTATTGTATATCAGGCTAAGCATATAACTTGTTTCATATTACTTTGCTTTATATTTTAATTGCTTATCTAAACATTAATTTTAATAAAGAGCATTTTATTGTATAATATTTGGTACATATTTGTAGCCACAATTGAATTATTTTTTCTGAAAAAATTATGCATGGCTCATCTGCTCTTGCTATATGTTAGGTTTTTTATTGTGTGCTTACTGTTAGAAGAAATTGTGTATATTCAAACAGTAGTTTAGAAATCCTCTTAACTAGATTTGTAGATTTTGTCTACTATTGTCTACTTAAGTTACTTGTATGTGTTTTTCAGAAAACAGATAGTTTGTTTAATCTTAGTTTCTTTATGAAGTTGATATGAATGAATGAATAAATTTCAGCTTCTAACCTTTGATCACTCCTCAGTTTTTATTATTCTGTAAATGTTTGTTTTGGGGGAAAGTACATAGACTATTTGTTAATTTAATCTTCTAGGTCTGTAATAATTGTGTATAATATTTGGTTGTTTGCAGTAAACCAAGCTTCTACATTCCAGAAGGAAGGTTCAGTCCATATTTGAAACTATATGCCAAAGTTAAAATTTTGTGTTTAAACCATTTACTGTAATTTATTCAAATTATTAGTTATTTTATCATTTTAGTTCTTACAATTCAGGCTGGCTTCACTTGTACAGGAACAGTTAGCAATTGGATGTGTAGAGTTTTTTTTACAGTTTTTTCCATACATTGAAATACCGCCCTGTTTTAGTGTGTTAGAACAAAAACTATTTCATAATATTTCCAAAAATTGATTTATTTAGGCAAGAGAGAACCTTGATGAGGCCAAGCGTTTATATGAAGTTCTTAACAAAGAACTACACGATGAGCTACCAGCATTATACGACAGGTGAGTCTTAAGTTTAGCATAAATTTCATATTACAATTAGAAAGTAATGAGTGTCAAAGAATTTCTTGATGTGTCCTGGATTCAAGAGTATATATCTTTTAATTATATGGTTTGTAATTTTATTTTTGCACTCATGGTTTTAGTTTTTATTCCAACGTAAAATATTGAGCATTACTGCACTAGAAGTATTTAATTATCAAGATTTTTGCATCATAAATGTTTTGTCAGACACGTTCCAAAAGAAGTGGTGTGTGTAGATACCATTAAATTAATAAATATGGCACCAAAATGATGTTATTGGGAACCATTAAGATTTTCACAAGTAATAAACAAGTTTTGAACTGTATCATACCACATGACTTTCTTTATCTATATTATATTATATGGTATTGGTTACATAAACCCCAACAAAAACAAATTTTTCATTTGACATTGTATTTCAAATGCTCATAAATTTTAGATGAGGAAATGTGAGGTAAAATATGAAATTTTACATCACTTTTCCTCAATCTGTATCTAAAATTCATTATAAAAAGAATGCCATTCTTTTACAGTCTCAATGTTATGGTTGATTGCAGTGAAAATAGAATTCATTTTATGTCAATTAGATAAACGTAGTTTGTAACCTTGGACATCATAAAGTAGAACTAACAGTTGTATAAATCAATGTCTGTTAGCCGTGTCAAGGAGCATAACTGACAATGATTTATATAACTATTAGTTGCTCATTGTCAGAGCTATTTTTTATATATCATCACACATCTTGATTCTAAGAAAATCTGTATTTCACTTTTTTACTGCTCACACAGCTTTTTTCATTCTTTACCATATTGTGTAGCAGTTCAAAATTGGCTCATTTGTAGGATTCATGTCTGTTTAGAAAATTCTTGCATGTATTTGCACATGCTTGATAATTTGTTATTAATGAAACTTCTTTGAAATATTCTGTTTGTGGCCTGTTTCTTCATGATCTTTGTGAACTTTTGGCTTTGGTGTTTGTGCTTATCAGTTTGTTTTCTCATCATTCCTGATTATTAACCTTTTGTTTGTTACAGAGATTCACCTTTTAAGGCTACTGTTTCAATTTGTGGTCTTATTTTCTTTATTCCTGCATTGAAACTATCAGTTGATATAGCAAATGTAAATGTAACCACTAGATTCTTGTGGGATATATGCCCATCTGACCCATGATCTTACTCAGTAGTATGATTTTTTTAAGAGATATTCTTGGTAATTTTCATTTTGGATATTTATTCTTTTATGAATCTTCTATGTTAAGTGTTTTTATCAGCTAATATATACGTTGGTTCACTATATTTATACTAGTTAAAAAATAGTTTTTATGCTTATTTCTTGTTCTTAATTTTGCCTGTATACTGTAATATTTTTAAACCATGTTGTTGGACCACCTAGTGTTAAAAAGCTTAGTTATTGGGTATTCAAACCAACTACAAGCATGAGAATTAATGTATTTGATAATTGTTGCAGAACCTACTAAAATGGAATACAAATCAATTGTTGTTGTTTTTTTAAAACAACTGAATCAGCTGGTCTTGGTAATGTTAATGTATATTAGTTAGAGAGGTCCCCTAAACTAATAATCATCTAAAATTTATAATGGGTTCCATGAAACTATAGTATTGGCTACAAACTTTAAAGCAAATTTTGCCTATCCAGAACCTGATACAGATAAAATAGCATGTTTTCTATAGTTATAGTTCAGATAAACATGCATACATGTTTGAAAAATCTAAGAAACTGTTGTGAAAAAGTATTATTTGACTATCAGAATGTATTACCTTTGAATGAGTGTAAAATCTTCAGACTTGTGATACAATCCCTGAAATATTAAATTGGCTTGGCTTGATATCTAAAAGTGTTTTCATTTCTGTTGTTTGATTTAAAAAAAAAATGTAAGATTCGAAATGGTAAATGAAGTTCTAACCAGTATATAGCATCAGGTTTTCTCAAAATACTCCTTAATCTATTTGTCTGTTTCTTATAAAGTACAAACTATTGGGATATCTGTGGTGTGCCCGCTACAAATATTGAAACCAGAATTTTATCATTATAAGTCCTCAGATTTACTGCTTGGCCACTTGAGGGATCCATTTTGTGTTTTGATAGATTCAGTCAGTTTTCAATGAAACCTCATCTTAATTAGTTAGAATATTCACTGGTTATTATAGTATGTTAGATTACCTATTTTCACAATTATTTAACTTTCAATCATTCTTTATTTGATGTTTCCCTAATGCCAAATCGTGAGAGGTGTAAACTTCTTAGTCATTTTAACAAGGTTATTGAAATTTGTACATGTAATACACCATTTTAAATATATCATATTTTATATTACAGTGTAATGTGCATGCAGATTTTTACATACATGTAACTCGTTATAATTATTTACATACAATAACATTTCATATCTTGAATAGCAAATATTAAACTAAACTGTTTAAAATACAGATAAAATCTTAAGTTGGACAAAGTACAGGAACTTTTGATGCAGTTTTTTATGTGTTAGTTCTTTTGAGCGCAATGTCTCAAAATTTCCTCTGATTCTGTATACTTCAAGATGTTATATTCTTCTGAAGTTAAAATTCATAAAGTGCAACCATTAGCTTCAAGCAATTTATACTCTGCTAGCATTTCATTTTTATTGTTAAATTTTTGTATTCAGGTAATGTTTCAAACTTTTGAGTAGTTTTGTCCTGATTAGGTATGTATAATGTATGTGCACATTAAACAAAACTTGGTTATCTGTGTCTCTCTTTTTAAATCCTTTGTCTTTTATTACATTTTTCCTCCAGCCGTATCGCATTCTTAGTATCAAACCTTCAGTCTTTATTCTCAGCCGAATCTGTCTTCCATGGAGAGTGCACGAAGGTGCATACACAGCTTAGTGATATGATGGAGAGGTTGGGGACGGAGTATCATAAGGGTAGTTACAAATCACGCAAGTCTAGGAAAATACACACTGCAAAAAAGTAAGTAACTTGCTTTTTTTTTTGCCTGCAATATGTGTTTTTTGTTTCGTTTGTGTCACCAATTTTGTGTCACAGATTTCCACAATTTTTATTTTTTTTTGCTCTTCTAAGAAACGGACATAGTTATTAGAAAAGATATGTATATGAGAGACATCTTTTAACTTTCTGTATGAAATGGGTCAAATTGACCCATCTTGGAAGTGTGAAACTTTACGTACTGTAACTTGTAACTCTGGACTTAGGTATAGCTTCCATATTGCTTAGAGCAATGACTTTTTACTCAACACAGAACAAGCTTTTCATCTAAAATATTGTCTTTAACCACCAAATATAAACATACAGTGTTATGATACCTGTACATTAAAATATGCTGTTTGTATTGGTTATAAACATGTCTATTAGACAAGAAAACTTGGTGTGGATAATTGACTTGAAATATATGAAAAGATGAGAGGGGCTTCTCTAGTGGATTTCAAAATACATATCATCATTACGTATAGTTTGTGTTTCTGGTTGGTTGTAAACTACTGCAGCCTATTTTTGAAAATTCTGAATCTAAAATGAGTTATATAACACAGAAAAGTGAAGATTGAGAATTTTTTTAACATTTCCTTTTGAAAAATGGCAGTTAAGACTTGGATAATATGATTTGAATTATAAACTATGTTTTGATGCCAAGTGTTAATAGGGACACAAAACCAAATGAATATAAAACCACCCGAAAAGCCAGAAGCAAGTTTTAATTATTATTGTAAGATTGGTTCCAGCTAGTTCAGAATCTTACAAAAAAAATAACATGGTTTAAAAATCAAAGAATAAAAAAAAGTCTCTTGCATTAACTCTGTTTATGGGCTAGGTTATTTTGACTGAACTTGTTATCACCATGTAACCATGAATCTATATATACATAGTATGTATATATATATATATATATATATATATACTATGACTCTGAATGTACTAAGTGTGTCTTTATGAAATTTGGTAAGTTTTAGTAAACATTACTTACAACTCCGTTACACACAAAAAATAATTTTTTGATAAAGTATTTTTACTAAAGATCTATCTGTAAATTTATGAAGCATTAACTGAGTCAGGTTGTCAGAATAAACATGATTTTCATACAAAGTATAAAAATACTTTTCTTTATCCAACAATTTTCATATTGCATAACCTCTGGAATGCTCCAAATGAATGCCAAAGTTTTTTTTTCAGTAAAACTTTGTATTTATTGTTAATTTTCTCTAACCTAATAACTGTAGAGAAATCAAATAAAAAAATTGAAAAATTTGAATTAAAATTAGTGCTTTTTTTTTCTTTAGAATGACTGTAAATTGTAACAGACAGTTACAATTATTTCAATATCATTCACCCCTGTGAGTTTTTCACAACAGCCGACCCACCCCAGTTCGAAAAAAGACAAAAAGTACTAAATTAAAATACAAAATTCCTTATTATGACTTGTATATATACATAATAAAATTAATACAACATAAAATAAACAAAACCCCTGGGTGAACCAATCGCTCTGTTGAAAAGCACTAGTTGAAACAACTAATCAGGTTACAGTCCCATAACACAGTTACCTTAAGTTGGTCTCATGAACTTTTTTGTCTACAATAGATTTTTAATTTTTACCAATTAGTTACCCCTATTAAAAATGTAACAATGAATAAAAAATATGTATATTGGAAAACACAAAGTTTTGAACTTAGAGTTGAACCCTATTTGAAGAACTTGTACTCAAATGTACATCCTTAGCACTAGTTTTTTCAACCAATTTTTGGTTCTCTACAAAATCATTAATGTTTCTTTCAAACATGCATTTTATAATGCAAATAATATTTCAGTTACCAGAATAGAATATTCCAAAACTTATTTAAACCAATCAATATGGGTAGATAAAAGTACAGGTCATGAATTTTTTACAAAGTTTCATTCAAAACGTAATTAAACTGCTGTATTATCAGTTTATATACTAATAAACTTGGCATTGAAATGTAGTTAAACCAAATTTTTATGTTATGTAAGTTTTGATTTCTCATTTCAAAAGGAAACATTAAAAAACTATGTCTTGTCTGTTTAAAGTGACATTTGTTTGATCCAACATGCCCATTTTTATTTATTCATCACCCCTCCATAATGTCCTGAGTTTAACATAAATTACTCATTATAATGTAGATCAGGGGTTCTCAACCTTTATGCTACCATTGAACCCTTATTCGAAAATTCATTTGCAATAGAACCCTATCGTACACACACACACGTAAGAGAAACACGTTATATGTATTATATTATTATTGCAGGTGAAATTGAAACATAACATCAGATTAAATATTAAATTTGATATTATATACGTTTGAATTTTTACTTTTATAAATAAAAATATTTAAAAACAACTTCAATCTCCCCTAGTGTGAGAATTGTGACATCTTGTTCTCTAGTCATTGCCTCTTTAATTTATTTACCTCCCTGCTGAGAACTAAAATATTTGACATAAAATAGTCTCTATAATACTGTTTTGCTGATGTTTTAGAAAATTTTTATATCCTTCAACTTTATTTTTTTTAAAGAGCAATCCCAGAAAAATTCAGACCCCTCCTCTCACATACTCTCTTTGACAATTTGCTAATAGGTTTCTTTGACATCCACCCTCATTATATTTATAACCAATAGAAAGCGTAGATTTCAACTGGTTGATTGCCATATTTTTTTATCACTCAGAGAGCCAGAAAAATTGTGACAGTTACAGAACAGTCTCAGCTTTTTTTTTTATATTACTACCATTACACATTTTGTTCTTGCAGAACTCCTGAAACCAGTCCACATACCCTTAGGGTTCTGTGGAACCCAGGTTGAGAAACCCTGATATAGATACATAGTGTTATATTTATAGCTTTCAATCTTTGTTTATATAAATATAAAGCAGAGAGTCAAACCCACTTACTATGCCCTCCTGTCACATCCTCTCTTTCACAAATTGCCAATAATTCTCTCTGTTGTTTGCTGTTACGTCATTTATAATGAATCGGAAGACAAATTTTTAATTTAATGAATGATGTATATTGCTACCTTGTTCTTAGTATGGATTTTTAAATATTTTGCCTACATATTTAAAGTTGCTACCACTGAGTTCAGATCAAACAGGAACTATTTTAAGACACTTATGCCTCAGTTAGAAAGCCAGTTAAATTACAGAAGTAATAGGCCATTGTTTGTTTTGTACATATTATTACTATTATGTTCTTAAATGTGTATTTCAAATAGATAAATATTTTAGTTATTTGTAATATTGTTATAAAGAACTAAGGTTAGGTTTCATCAGAAGGAAACATCAAAAAACCAAGAGGACAAATGTAAATAAATATTTCCCATTTTTATATATCTTTTTTATTTATAAAAGTAAGTAAATTGTAAAATTAGAAACATTAGGTTAGATAATGAAAAAAAAAACAAGACGGAATCCTCAATAACTGTGGCGCTTGAAATTCTTTAAAACAGGATTAGAGTAAATTAATCGGAGACTCCCCCTTTTTTTTTATTAGCTATATTTTTGTGTACTAGCAATACCAAGCATGGGGGTGCACGTGTACCTGATTCGATCTTATTACTCATCAGGATCTCTACCAGCCTATCCTCATATTGAAATTCTTTAAGGCACAACTAGAGTAAATTAATCTATGAGACCTTGGTCATGGTCAAATACATCATTGAAAGGATTTGACCCCCTGAGTCCAAAACTTTAATTAGATCTCAAATCAGTCAAGAGATGATGGAGCTATGACCTAAAACCTTGAAAGAAACCCGGAGCCATTCTATGAGCTGCTATGTCACGGCTAATAATTAGATTTTTCCTTGAGGCATGCTTGTGAGTAGGTCTTGGATTATGTTGGTCAATGCCATATCTTGAGCTGTGTTTGCCATTTGATTTACAGCTTGTATCGTGAGACTATTTGTTAAACATGGCTCAAAGAGCAAAACAATAAAATTAAACAAGAACAGGTGACTGATACAAGTCTTAAACTGTTTGGGATAAATGTAATTTTCTGTTGCAATCTGCAGTCATTATAGAAAGAAAAAAGGGTAATTTAGAATTAGTTAAAATTTTTTGTGGTGGTTACAAAGTTAGTCAAGTCAATTGAGGCCATACAGCATTAAAGTAGAGAAAATAACAGAAGTTCTAGAGGTAAAGCAGATGAAAATTGAAAGATGAAAAAAATTATTTGTAATCTTAACATGAAGATAACCTTGCACTCAGACTCAACATATTCACAGGTAAATCTTTAACAAGAATACTTAAGTCAGTTTTTTTTTTTTTTTTTTGGGGGTACAAAAGACTTGTAGTGTTTACTAAAAGCTTGCCTGATTTTGAGAATATGCAATTATTACATTAAATGATATATTATGTATACTTTTCTGGTTGCATAGTTGTTGCAAGGTTGGTCAAAATGACTGAGCTTGTTTAAAGAGACAGTTAACAGGCTTTTTAACTTAAGTTATAAATGGGTTTTAAAAAATTCTCAGAGCATAAAAACCCAATTTTATACAATAAGACTGAGGCTAAATAGCTACTTAAAGGTGGCAAAACAAAATAACCATATAAAGAATCTTGTAAATAGCTTTTTATCATCTAAGTAAAGCAAGATTTATATTTTGGCTTACCAATATCTATATTATGTTTCTTCCACACATTAAAAAAAATTCAGAGATGAAACTTATTCAATAAAAAAGGTTTTATTTATTCAATTTTATACATAAATTTATTTTCTTTAATTGCAACTTTAACATTTCAGGTTGATTTCAGCATTCTCCAAATGTAAACATTAGTGTTTGGGAATTTCCTGGATTTTTTCTGAGCATAATATAGCATTACTTTGGTTTTCACCATTTGATATAATTGCTTGTATCTGAGCTTTGAGAAGCCATGGGCTAGTGATGTAAACTGATAGTGAAAGTTCTTTTTCTGCTATTTTCAACTGTATAAACCAGTATATCTTCCAGTCTAGTCGAGACTCTTGTAATATTGGAATTAAATGATAAAAGGTTAATTGGTGATATATTGCTCGAAGAAAGGCACTTCTGAACAATTTCTTCCACAGTTACAGTTCTGATACTTTTTTAAAGCATGCTTTATTATTTTGAACTTCATACCAGTTATGATGTTGCAGTATGATAGGAAAAGACATGTTTCTGTGGAAGAAGATGATATTTAATTTTTTTAATTGCAAGTTTTATTTTGGGTTGATTTCAGTTTGGTTTGATCATTTTACAACTGATCATTTCAGGTTGTTTCGCTGACAAATCTGTTCGTTTGTTAGGTTTTATGGGCCTAAGTGAATAACTGTTTGAATGACATGTAAAGTGAAATATATATAAATAACCAGTTCAAAATAAAGATGAAATTGACAGTTTTATAAAATACAAACTTTATTGGGAAGTTTTACAACAAAGGTACTCATTACTTACCGCTTCTTAAAAAAGCATATCACAGTGAAATTTTTTTGATGTTTCAAAACTGTGAATTCATAGAAATACAACATAACATATTTTAGTTAGCAGAAGTTACATAATCTATAGAAAGTTAATGTCAAGTTTTAAACAATTTCATCCAGAAGTTTTTTTTTTTTTTCAAAGCACTCTGTTATTTAAAAGTTAATGTATAGCTTTACATTGTAATTGTTGATTAGAGACATAAACTGATATTCATAATAAAAAATAAAACAGTCATATACATAGTTTATCTGCTTGGCTAACTCTACTAATAATTTCTTTAGGGCTGACTGTGAATCTGAGGATTCATGGTTCATGTCCCCATTGCTACATGGGCCATGGATGTACTGTAAGTGTGACTGTTAAATCCCACTATTTTGTTAGACAAGAGTTGGTGGCAGGTGCTGTTGACTATCAGTTCAAAATAAGGGGAGCTATGGACAGCTAAGCCTTGTATAACTTCACATGAAATTTGAAACAAGCATCAAATATATACTTGTATTTCTGTATATTTTGATATTACAAAAACTTTAAAGCTTAACCAAAATATGCTAAGATATTCTAAAAGAGGAAATCCACTTTAAAAAACCCAGTTAAGACCAGATTTTAAGTAATTATTCTCCATAAAAGTGCAAATTATATGCTATAAGATATCAACTTCATCTAATCTTTTCATTTTCATTCAAGTATAAATGTCATTTGTAAATTTCAATACATCAAATGTGTAAACTTCAACAAGCATAGTAGATTTTTTAATTATCTAACTCAAGAAAGCATCATCATAGACTTCATACATTCTGTACAATATGTGAAAATGATATTCATTTGTACAAATTTTTCACAGTGAAATTGATGCAAGACAGTATGAAGAAATAGAATTCAAGAGAAATTCCTTAGAGAAGCAAAAAAATGCTTCCTTGAATGTTCCGGTTTCATCTGAGAAGAAAGGTAGTTTAAGTATAATCTCTTGTAAACTTTTTGTTTTATGTGTGTGTGTTGTAGACGTAGCCAAATTTTATATGTGTATATATATATATATATATATAATGT